ATTTAACAGAACCTGAAACTATGGTAAACTAGGTAGAAAAAATGCAGAAAGGGAAATAGTTTGAACTAAAATCATTCACAAAATTCAAGAGAAGTGTTTTGCTTCCTTCAAAAGTTCTGAACATATTGCAGGCAATGTTTATGGACCATAAACCTGCTGTTAGTTTACTGTTGAACTTTGTTCCATTACAGCATATATGGATGGCACATAAATTGGCAGAATTGTTTTTGTAAATGCAGATGTTGTTGTTTTCACAAAAAATAATGGCTGAAAGTTTCCCAGCATTCTCAAGGATTAAATATTTGTGAAATTTAGTTAATGCATAATTTATATTCGTATTAATAATTCGAGGAACCTCGTAAATTGTGTGAGTGAATGGTGTGTGAGTGTGTCCTGTGATGGGTTGGCACCCCATCCTGGGTTGTTCCCTGCCTTGCATCCGTAGCCTCCAGGATAGGCTCCGGGCCCCCCACGACCCTGAAAAGAGCAAGCGGTTACAGAAAAGAGATGGATGGATGGATAGATGCAACCTCTGAAAGGTAGATTGAAGACAAATCTCAAAGGGGAACTGATTTCATGTACCCATTTGTTTAAAACACAACTCATATTTCATATACCACAAATAAACAGCTGTAGCTTTAACTGGATAAAGGCTTTAATAATACTGGCATTCAGTCTCCAGCATGTTTTTTAAAATATATATTATATAAAATACTGAAAAGAAAATTCTGAGATACTGACTCATGGCTTGTGTATGACTGGCTTCCTAAGGTGAAGGTCATAAACTATATAAACAGAAAAACTAAACATTTGCAGCCCTTGGCAAGAACTGCACAGTGAAGAACAGCCAGCCTGGATACTCAGAAGGGCTTAACTGACACTGATGAATGGCCTCACCTCACCCAACATTTAAATATGGAGGAGAGTGCCACACCAAAGCGGCACCCCAGGGCAGACAAGAAAATGCTAGTTTTAGAGGCAACACAGACCAAATCAGTTCCCCCACAGCTACCAAACAGGGACCAAACAGCAACCATTTTCTGATTAATAAGAGCAGGGATGCACAATGGGACACTGCGATGCACACGCACACGCAAACATGCAAATGAACGCCATGCACACAGATACTCCCTTCCTGTCCTTGCATTCTCTTTATATACCAGATGGATTCTGTAATGGGCTCACAGAGCAACAGGCAGCTGCCCCGCAAATGCTCGCGCTTTACGTTCTCCGCGCTCATTTTCCTTCCTCCCGCTCGCGAATAGGTGAACTGCCTAATGCGAGACAGCCTGGCATAAAAATAAACAGTGAAGGAACAGTGACAGTTAAACACCTGAAGATGCAGTGGATCATGAGACCCTGCTTATTTTCTTTATTGCTCGCTTTCAAACTGCCAGTGAATGTTCTGGCACTGAGAGTGAGGCATGCTGGGTAGATCATGAAAGCCAATACGCCCGGTGCACTGGTATTAGCCACCTTGTGACCACAATGTGAGGTTTTGCTGTGCAGTGAGCATGCCTGAAGTCCTGATGGTCACTACTCCATATTTCTATTCTGCCAGCGTTACCGTGGCAACAGTAGTTTCTATGGTACTTACTCTTTAAGCTGTTGCGAGTTTTAACTGAATTTTGATAAGGACACACTGAGTTTCCTAATTCCAATTTTAAATATGGTTATTTCATAACAAAAATGATTCACATTCCAATAGCTGGTCCTTCAGTATTATTACTTACTCTATTTATACTGTATGTTGGACCAGCTGAATTAACAAATAATTGTGTGAAGTGCAGCTCCACCAGACTATGCCCCATTCCCACTATGACATTGACCTAACTGTGGTTGCTGGGGGTAAAAAAAAATCTACTTGTTACTAATAGTTTATAAACCATTTCTGTGACCATAATAATGTGCTCAGCAGGTAGGGAATTTGTGCCTGTGAAGGTTGTGGGTTTGAGTAAACATTTCACCGTTGGGCCCTTGAGTAGGGGTCTTAACCCCGAATGTTCAGGGTCCTGCTCCCCGACCGCAAGCTTTCCTCACTTATACTGTAAGTCACTTTGCAGAAAGATGTCTGCTAAATTAATGATAATTAATCTGTCTTCCAGGTCTGCTTAACCATGGTGGAATGCCTGGAGATAACCGCAGAGCAGGGGACGCCGTTAACTGGATGCCCGTCCTTCAGGGGAACCTACAAATTTTCTCAATACGCTATTAGATCTGCTATTCCATCCATCCATCATTTTTCTATAACCAGTAATCCAAGACAGAGTCATGTTGAGCCTTGAGTTTAGAACTGTTTTTATTGATAATTCTTCATTAAATCTGCATATTCCTTCGTTATGACTGGCCCCAGTATCTCTCTTGTATGTGATGCTTTTCGCTTTCCAGCGTTAATATGTGCATGTTACTGAAAGCTCAGTGGTGCACATGTATCGAGGACTCCGGTTAATAAAAGTGAAGCTCAAGCTGATACTGTGAAGGCGTTTTTTTTTTGTGTGTGTTTCTGTTTTCATAGCAACCATCGCTCAAAGGTTGAACACATTACCTGCAGTACGCTAGAAGGAGAGCATCCTAGGAGCGCGAGAGGCAAGGCTACCCCACCCATCACCTCCAGGAAGCTGCACGGCAACACAGAGAAGATTTTAACTCATTTTCTAATCAAAACTGACCTTAAAGAAAATGCTGAATGCTAAGGAAATATGGAAGTAATGAATTATTATGATCATGTCCTGGGCTATTTGATTTTTCTTATCGCACATATACTTTATTTATATTTATTTATATATTTACATTCTTTTTCAGGATGTTATGTTTACATGTCTACGTTGTGTGCACTAAAGTGTGTTGCGCTTTATCTTGTATTGCATTATTTGCTGCTGAACACAGTCAATAAAGTTCTTATCGTATCTTATCTTATCTTATGCTTATTTCCAATTTTCCTAGCTGACATTTAATACGCCTGCTTATAAAGCAACGTCCGTTTCTACAGATTCAGCTTTGTGGTATTTCAGGGAAATTTACATTCATTCGCAGACAGAATTGGGTAATTCAGGTCCAGAGAGAGTTAAAGCCCAGACCGGGATTTTGTTTCAACCAACCAGCTGAGTACTCTGTCACTGTGACTCTTTATGCTCAACTGGTTGGTCGAAACAAAATCTTGGTCTGGACTTTTGCTCTCTGGACCTGAATTACCCAGCTCTGTTTGCAGATGACTTCAGTGTTTGAAGCAAAACTATGCAAAATCTGGGGTCTCGTGCCGTCTGTGAGGTGAACTACGGATCTGTGAAGTGCTCTCCCCCCAGGATGTGAGCCCCCCCCACCACATATGTCCCAAAATCTGCACTAGACCAGCCACGCTTTATAAAAAGAGCCATACTCTCCCTCCTGACGCATCTCTATCTGCTCAGCCTGGCTCCGCCTCCTTTCAGCCATCCAGCTGCCGCCAGCTGTGCATTTTTCAAAGATGAGAGGTGGAGACAGAGTCACTTAATGAAGGAACCACTGCCTTTGATGTGCTGTGAGTATTTTATCTCCTCAGCCCCCCCCCCCCTTGCCACACACGCCTTATGCGTCCTTATAAATCAGCATGTTCCCTTCAGCCAGACAAAGCTTCTCATCCCACAGGAATGCAATAAGACAGAGTCATGGTGTTGTTTCACTGTTGTTTTGAAAAGGAACCTTTTCCCCCCAAGTGGTGCTGTACATCTCAGGTTCTGCAGGTGAACGTGTGCTGCAAATTTATGCTCTGAGGCTTTCAAGTCCTGGAACCGCATAGCCTCACACTTGAGCCATAAGTTCCTTCGCCAAAAAGATTTTCTTCACAAGTGTGGAAATTAGGCCACAAAGATACACTGTGAAATAACGACAATGTATTTTTTCTATTCAGTAAACTGGAACTGTTTAGCAGGCGGCACGGGGGTGCGGTGGTTAGCACTGTTGCCTCACACTGCTGGGATTAGAGTCTCTGCCGCGGCTCTGAGTGTGTGGAGTTTGCAGCTTCTCCCGTGTCGTCGTGGGGTTTCCTCAAGGTACGGTACAGTACTCCAGTTTCCCCCCACAGTGCTGAGGTTAATTGGAGCTACCAAATGCCTGTATGTGTGCGTGTGTGAGTGAATGGTGTGTGAGTGACTGGTGTGTGAGTGACTGGTGTGTGAGTGAATGGTGTGTGAGTGAATGGTGTGTGAGTGACTGGTGTGTGAGTGACTGGTGTGTGAGTGACTGGTGTGTGAGTGAATGGTGTGTGAGTGACTGGTGTGTGAGTGTGCCCTGCCATGGGTTGGCACCCTATCGTGGATTGTTCCCTGCCTTGCGTCTATAGCCCCAGGGACAGGCTCCCCCCCCCCTGCAACCCTGAATGGGCCATGTGGTTTCAGAAAATGGAAGGATGAAACCTTTTTGAATATTAAAAGCATTTAATTTTGACTTTAAAATGAATTGATTTTTCAGAATTGTCAAATGAAATACATGCAGTGAAATCAAATAGTTGTTGCCAAACCTTGTTCGGTTTCATTAAACTCAATGGAATAGATAATGGTCTAACATCACTACCTTTGGCAGGCAAAAGAGTGATGCATAGCGTGTCACTAATATGCACAACAGGAATTGCTGAAGTATCAACCTGACATCACAAGAACTATTTTTATTTATTTATTTTTTTGTCTGTGACGTACAGTACAGTCATGGCAAATTTAAATATGAAATGTATCTTTGAGATGCATATATACGTATGATGTTTGGGATCGTGACTGTTGGAGCAGAATGTCTCTGGAGCTGGGAAGGAAAGTTCTGCACCTCAGCATTTCCCTGCACATGCCAGAAGCTGGAGGAAGCAGAACGATTAGGAATAAATGACTGGAAAATGTCTCATCTCTTCACACTCTCCCTGCTTTCTCCGATCGCACACCAACCTGTACGGCATCTCCTGTCTTGTCGTGGGTGCCTCCTCCCACTCCCGGCCCCCTCAGACACCCCCCTCTTGGGGGGGGGGGGGGGACCTTCACTCCCTCTCAGCAGAGCAGCCGGGAGGGGGGCGGCAAGCTCCATCTGCAGCAGGGGTCCGGTGATCAGTCACATTTCACCGCAGACGCTGCGTTAGCGCAGCAGACCCTGCTCACGATCGTCACGCCGCATGCTCGTCGCGGGAGTTACGCCAAAAGGACTCGGGCCGGTTTTCCCAGCTGAGAAAGGGATACACGTGCATACAGGACATGACGATGCACGTGGGGGAGCTGATTCACCTCACACATCCAGGGGTGGGGGGTCCAGTCCTGCAGCTGCTCTGCCTGTGTGTGAAATGCATGTTGCCCCCATTTTAAACAGGTTTCCTCCTGAAATGCAAAGACACGCAGATAAGGGGGTATTTCTAAATATTATGTGAGCTCTGCAATGGACTTGCATCCTACCCAGGCTCTTCCCCAGGGAAAAAGGCTCCGGACAGTGTTTCCCAATCCAGTCCTCGGCGACCCAAAGTCGCTCCAAGTTTTTACTCCCTCCCAGCTCCCGGTAGGAGCAAAAATTAGTACCGTCTCTGGGTCCCCAAGGACCGGATTGGCAAATACAAGCTCCAGGCCTTGGCTGTACTGGTAAGCGGATAGATGAAGATATTATCCACGTCATATTCCAGTGAATGCTACCTGCTGGTTTGCCTGAGGTTTCTGGTCCTGTTTACATGCAGGTGACCGGGGGCTTTGAAAAAAAAAATATCACAGGCTGCTTTTTCAAGATGTTTGTCCAGGATCGCTCTGGGTGGGAAAAAAAAAAGGAAAAAAAAGGTTTGCACCATCCGTGTATGTGAGAGGAAGCAAATCTGTTCCTGGCTAGGTGTGATTCATGTAGGAGACATGCATCTGTAGCGCGGGCCGGCACACGTACACTGAGACTCTCTAGCGGGATGCGGTCACTGGTACGTGGCTTCATCTGCATGGGGGATCTGATTCATCTGGACCAGGTCTGATCCTGGTGGCTTTAATCTCTCATCTCTACTAATGTTAAACCTAGAAGAAACCACAGAATGTTGAACATTGATGGATTTCTGCTCAAGATTTAATCAATGTTTACTGAATGTTTATTAGATATTTATAGCAAATACAGTATATTCATCCTAAAATGCCTATTTTTAAAAATAGATGGGACTGTGATAACAAATAGCACCTACAAAAATTAAAAAAAAAAAACAACTTCAGGTAATGTTACACATAAACACTGTATTTTAATACAGATAATACAGCAATGAAATATAAATCTAAAATTTACCAAAGAACTCGTTGTGTGTCGCCACATGCACATACTCAGATGCAACCAACAATTTGGAGATGCCAATTAGCAAATGACTTCGGACTGCAGGAGCCGTCCAGAGCACCGGGAGCGACTCTGAGTGAACATGGTACCTGCACAGAGAGAGCCAGGGGGAGGTTTGTAGGTGAGAGGCAACAGCGCTATAAAGTCCTTATTGGAGACCTTAAGCTACAGGGAAAATGAGTGTGTGTGTGTGTGTGTGTGTGGATTAGGTTTATATTACATTGTGGGGACCAAATGTCCTTCACAATGTCATAAAAACCTGTTTTTTTCTCCAGGTCCCCACAAAGATCTGTGAATGCAAATAAAAAACTAAAAATGCCAAAAGGCTTGTATTTTTTTTGCTTACTTATGGTTAATGTTACAGCTGGGTAGGGGTTAAGGTCGTCATGTTGTGATTAGAGTTTTCCCCATAAAAATGAATGGAGAGTCCCCACAAAGATATAATTACAAACCTGTGTGTGTGTGTGTGCATGTCTGTGTGCGCATTCTTATGAAGCTCTAAGGAAAACTGCAGCCTGGTGATAAACAGAGACACTTCACTTAAGGCCATTTTTATTTGTAATTTATACTTACATTCATGTTGCATTATAGTTCATTCATAAAGCATTATAAACATGGCTATAAATATTTAGAAAAAGGCATAAGACATTATAGCCATGTTTATAATGTATTATGACTGCCTTATGAAGCTCTCATCTGTAATGCACTATAGATACCTTCATTTTCCAGTACAAAACATCCTTAATGCTAATGCATTATAATGCATTATAAAGGTATCTATAGTGCATTATAGATTACAGCTTCATAAAGCATTCATGATGCATAACACATATACCTATACTGTGTTATGCCTTTTAATAAATATTTATAGCCATTTTTATAATGCTTTATGAATGCATTACTATTTGGTATGAATGTGTTTATAAATGACTGAAAACATGATCTTAAGTGTTACCCAGAGATTTTCTGCTGTGTGACCTAAGGTAGGACATCTCACTTTCACCTACTACCAATGGCCTCATTTTTATGGTCTCATCTTCCATTTTCTCTTTCACAAAAAAACCAGAAGAAAAACAAACACAAAAAGCACAGCTGGCAGTGACACTGGGCTTTCCCCAAACACATTTTTTTGTGTAACAGCTAAGCCAGAAAGAGTTGGCCAGTGATGATTTGCTGGCAGACACTGAGCTGTAGTTTAAAATCATGTATCTTTTGTGTTACAACATCATGTTTTATTGATTTTCCGTTAATCCTGGGGGGTTTTTTACACCCACTTGTAAGGGGGTATGTTAAACCATTTTTTATTGACCTTCTTTGCATCTGAAATTTACTTACTACTTATTCGATATCTACATTCGAACAAGTGACGGGGGAGGGTGATCCGCACGCTGGCAGAAAACATTATGCAGACATTTCAGTTCAAGGCTTTGCTGTAAGGTGCAGTTTTTCCAGCTATGCTGCATATTTTTGGACCAAGCTATATAATTAGGCTGCAAGTAGCTGTGTGAGAAGGTAATGCAGCATTTATAAATGCTTAACTGGAGCACTAAAGACCCACTGGACATCGATGAATCATCAAGTTCGCCACACAAAGGCACTTTTTTCATTTTTGCTCATTAATATTTACTAAATGTATGACATTTCAATTCTACCAACTGTAAGTCTGTACAACATTAATGGAATGGAGGGACAGATGGATGGATGGATGGATGGATGAATGGATGGATGGATGGACACTCCCAAGAATTATAATGGAAGAAGATGAATTATGTAATCTGTGAAAGAAAAACAAAACACACAAAAGACCTTAACATGCAGTGCATTTCTTTTCCTCTTGAAAGAAGCATCCAGCTACAGAGTCCATAAATTACTCAATCAGATTAATGTTAATCTGAGAATTTGCTCATCAATAGTACACTTATAAACTGGATTACTACTTATCCAATTTATTTTTGGCTCTCTGTCCTTTTCATACATACAAATACCATGTGGGAATCACACCTGAAATCACCGTTTTGTTTGTTTGTTTGTTTGTTTTCTCAAAGAAATAAAATGACTCTGTTTCCATACTTGCGAATGCATCATCAAAAACCTGAGGGAGGAATTAATTTCTTAAGAAAACACTGAGCAGCAAAAGAATGACTCTGTCAACCGCACCCCCCAACACCCCCCCCCCCCCCCCCCCCCCCCCCCCACCCCCCATCAATCCAGTCTCCTACTTTCAAAAAAAAAAAAAGAATCAGTCTTTATATTCATACATATGGGGATATGCTTCCCATTGTGTGCAAGTAACTGGCCAAACTGGAGAAGGCGGGAAGTTGGTAATGGAAATAATAAAGATAATAGAAAACCTACACAAAACGATTCGTGACTCCTGTAAGAAACAGCTGTAGGAGTTGACTGACTAGCGCTTACTGCCGATTACGTAACTGGCGGTTATCGGCTCCGCAGATCAGCGGGTCGGCTCTCCGCTCTCACTTTGGTCCTCTTGGAGAACCGTGAACGAGGTCAGCACTTCAACACCCCTGCACTGTGTGTCCGCTTCCTAACGCATCTGTGTGTCCTCATCTTCATGCAGAGCCAAGCACACACAAATGTCGGGCTTACAATTCCATATGAAAATAGCTGTAGATTATTCTATTTTAATTACCAGGTCCTTTAAAAGATACTCATGAAAAAGGCAAACATATACTGAAGGTTATAATAGAGACCATAATAAATGGTTTAACACTTCATAATGGTTATTTTCTATTACAACAAATATGTTTGACATGTTATCCAATTACAAAAAAGGGATCAAATTTCTTTCTATTTGTAAAACCTGATTTGGTACAGGATTACAAACATCCTTTCCCCTTTTTAATATAATAATAAACATTTTAGTAATCCAGGTAGATATCTATTATTATTTCAGATTTGCATGAAAAATTGCACCATATTTTTAGTGGGAGATACAAGATCTTTCACAATGCAGAAAGAGCCCACAAAAATGTAATGTTTTCATATTCTCTGTTTTATTGTCTGTACCATCACTCATTTCAGTTAGGCTCTTTGACCCTGTGGTTGCTGTCAGTTTCAAACTCCCCGTGTGGTTGACTTCACTATTACCATGTTTACCTGGATCCAGAAAAGTTTTCTCCTGCATGCTGCAGCAATGTTTTTAAGAAAGAAATCTGACAAAAATGTCAGCCATTATGGAACTGTTTTGAAGAACGGGAACGTTGAAGTTACATCTTATACTTTCAAACCCATATGGAAGGATTTTCAGAAACAAATTCCATTTCCGTCAGGATGAAACCCCAAAATATGTTGATTCTGCTTTAGAATTATTATTCGCTTGTGCTGTTGCCTGGCAACTAGGACTGGCCTTGGCTTTCCAAAGCAAGGTATTATCTCTTTGCTTATTCTTTGCCGTAAATTTGATTCATATTTAACATGCCGGAAATGAATCAGAAAATGCAACCTCACCCTGCTTCCCGTGATGTGACATTGCAGTGTCCAAGGGTGAGAAGCCATTTTGAGCAGATAACAGATTCTTAGCTCCGAGCAGGAATGGGTCTGGTCTTCCGAGCCCTTACTCCTCTGGCTCAAGGAAAAAGCAGGAGAATCTGCTGTCATTATTCTCAAAATGTAGCACTTCTTACCAGTCCAGATGCTTTTAGATGTCTTTTTGATTTTCACAACTGAGCCAGAATGAAAACACTCAATAATTTAAACAAGGAATAGTAACTTTTATATTTACTGTCAAAAAGGCATTTTTTACTCACCGCAGCAGATCGTTTGCAAATATCCACATAGCACTTCATGTATCCATTTAACTCATAAAGCCATTTTGTGATCTTTCAAGTTCCAGACTTGACCTTTAAAAAAAAAAGAACTCAAGCTTAGCTTGAATAACCAGAACTGAGCACAGAAATCATTTGCTCCTCTGAGCCGCCCCACTCTGTGATTTAAAAAAAAAATCTTCATCCCAGACTACATATGAGTTACATGTTATATATGTGGATCAATGCACAGGGCGTCTCCAATTTTCTGTCACCTTACAGGTACGTTGACGTGAGGTGGCCCACGTCTCGAATGTTTCTTACAGAAGGTTGAGGCCTGATCACCTCTGCACCTCTGGCTCCTGCAAATGGCCACTAAGGCTAATTAAATGCTCTGTGTCACGACCGATAACTTGTGTACAGTCTTATGAAGCTCTGGGATGTTTATCCATTAATGAGTCTTGCAGCCAATCGGTGTCTAGGTTACAGTCTACGACATTATTCTACTTGCTATTACCTTGCAATATTGGCAAGGTTGTTAACTGCATCATAGTCAAACAGTACTGTATCGGTTATTGTTTAAAACTCTGAAAGTCTGCATGGATTCATTTTATGTGGAATATATCAAACATTTCATGATTAACCTTTTTTTAAGTGTTAGTGTGCCTTTGTATCATTCAGTTCTTTAACAGTTCTGAAAGACTGTGTGTACCATTCAAGGACGTGATTTGATCGAAGATGGGTGCTGAAATATTTCATTACTGAGAAGACCTGTAGTTACCATAGCTCTGAAAAATGTATACGGTATGAGTGTCTAAGCCAGTGAATGTCGATGTGCAAAGGCATTATTTCGTAGATGTGACTCACTGCCTCTTTGTTGAAATATGTGAAACACAGCTGTCAGAACAGTCAGAGTTCATGATTGCTGTGCATTACCACCAGAAGAGTCTGCAAAATCAGGCATAGGAAAAATAAAGTTACATGAAAACCAGGCAAAATCTTACTCTCTTAATCTTTCTGTCACACAGGTAGTGCCATTCCGTACTGCATGAATACCTTGAGATTATATAATAACCTTGTGTTCAATGTAAACAGCTGCTAATATAGTTGTATTTATTGTCCCAGTATAAGGTGTTTATACAATGAAATGTGGTGTTAAAATCCACAGTCAGTGGTATATTCATTTGGCACAAGCAGCCTACTGTATGTTCTTGTCTGGCTTTCCTCCTCTGAGGTTTACGCGCCGTAATTCTCTTTCCTTACTGGTAACAAGCACTATGGAGATGTACCGAGTGCCGCTTTTAGCTCATAATCCTTCGACTCTTCATTTTCATGTTTCACTTCCCAGCATGTGGGTCACAGCTGGTAGTTAACAGTGTCATACAAATACCAGTGTGAGTAAACTACTGTTTACCTCATAACACCAACAATTCATGGCAAAACAGAAGATTTTAAACAGGAAAGAGTATAGAGACGATTCTCTAAATTTAAGTGTCGCAGCACAGGAAAGCTAAACACACTGACACAAGGCAACAATGTTGCCTGATAGTGCAAATAAAAATCTGTAAAATCCTAACATGCATTAATTCAACTCTCCGTGGCCCTACCAGAATATACTAAAAGCCTGTGGTAGAAATTTTCTGTTCAAGTAACAAATTTTTTTTGTATGCTAAGGAATTGGTCTCTACATAGGTGGCATCAAATGGACCAAAGGTCGTAGGTTTGGTTTCAGCACTGTAAGGCTCCATATCAGTCCCAAACGCCTCCCCAAACACACACATGGTACTCCCACGACATTGGTAAGTAGGGACATGTCCGTCCAAACCAAAACCTACATCGTTGGTCAGACCTGTCCTGTAAGGTGTCACTAGTGAACTTTGCCGGTTCTCCTCTGCACACTGACTCTGCAGACACAGCAGTAATGAAATATGGCTCTGGGGACTCAATGGTGACTGACGGTGGCCCCGCTCGTCCCCTCCACCCACACCGGCAGCTCCATGCTGTCACTGCTGTCGGCTTACACTCCTCCACAGAGCCTGCTGCGTTTGAGGAAGGACACTTACACACACACACACTCTTCATGTACAGCAGTAACATCGGGAGAAATAATTCAGATGCACATACAGAGCAGCTCACAAAAAAAAAAAATTCACAAAGAAAATATAAGCACATACCCCATGCACAGAAGCACACAAATTCACTGGAAATAACTTCCCACGCACATACAGACATGGACACGCACGAACCATACACACAGCTACAAAGACCACGCACACGCATACACATAAACAAGCACACGCATAGACACACGCAGACATAAACACACACACAGGAAAGCAGCACACAGACGGCTCGGTTTGGGCTCCGTCAATCAGCAGACTCCGCTACACCTATAGCTAGCGCTCGCGTTCTAGCTAACGGTGGGCAAGGAGACGTCGGCAAATGCCAAAATCCACCCCCTCCAGGAGCGCGCGCCTGTTTTCTCAGCACCCACACGAACACCCACTCGGCTTCCTGCAGCCGCCCCCTCGCTCGTCACGTTCGCCCCCTCCTCCCGCACATTTGGCATGCGCCCACCTGCCAGCCTGCGTGGAACAGAAAAACAAGGCCGCGTGAGGGTGGGACCACGGGACGGTGAGACGGGCACGTGTCCGCGATCGGCTGACAAGCACGAGTCTCTCGGAGCCCTGGGTCTTTCCTGTCAGCGCGGACTGAAAACAGCGCAGTCACCTTGCTTGGACAGACCACCAGCCTGGGAGATGATGGTGACTCAGGATTAAAACACTCCCTATTAAGACCAGATGACACCATGAGGGCTGCATATGAACAGCAGAAAATGACTGGTGGAGCTTTTATCAATTACATAATCTTCCTTTGTTATCATACAGCACAGCTCTGGAAATGGTTCACGCAAAGCATGGGGGAGGGTTTTTGATTATGGGATGTTGCAGTTAATGTATTCACACTAATGCATTCGGCTTTTTTTATTTCCATTACACGATAACAATGATGAGCGGTAATATGAAAAGTACAGTCAAACACAGCAAGATCTCTAACTCACCAGCTACTGTCTCTGCGTCGCTAATTTTATTAGCACGGCTTGAAAATATCTCCTTATGTTATTAAGGCGAGTGGCTTTAAATTGAATCTCACAGTTTTGCGACTACTCACACCTCAGCAGCTTCTAAAAGGGGCAACATTCTCACTGTAAGAGTTACACATTCCGCTATTGTAAAACATTACCTTTCCCTGCCAGAATAAACAAGAGACTGATAAATTCCAAAACTGCAGGGCAGCATTTTTCTACATAAATGTGAGTCGTGTCGGAGAGTGAGTCTCCCTCAAAGGAGACTCACTCCTGCTATGGAGGAGTGAGTGGGTGAGGGCAGGGGGCTTGTGGATGTGGTGGTTCCGTGCAGATCTCTGGCAGTGACTCACCAGAGACACCCTCTCCTGGGCTGAATCAGCCAGCTAACGCTGGTGTGTGAGGCTGTGGGATAAACCACTCAGCGGAAGGTTCCTGAATGCTGGGAGTGTAGACTTTGAACGGTCACGATGGGAATCCTATATAAGATTATGAGTTAGTTTTGTGGGAATAAACCTCCCTCTGTCAAGCAGAGGATGATGGTGAGGACATGTGACCCCGAGCTGAGATGAGAGTCACTGCTAGGATGCCATCAAACAAGACCCACACATTGGGGTGCAGATGTCCAGGGGCCACACCTACATGCCACCACCCGCTACTTCAGGAGAAACTAGGAGCTTGTTGAATTACATAAACTGCAGTTTAATTCAAAGTATGTCAAGCCTGTTCTGACCAGTTCTGTCATTTTTTTCATTTCAAACTCCTCCACAGCATATTTCAGTTATTAGAATTCCTGGTATGCTCGAAGGTCTCAATAATTCTCTGCCTCTTTTTCATTTGCCACAGTCCATTTATTGGGTCCTAGGTTTGCCTCTGGATGGATCACAGTGTAGGACAAAAAGACTTCCTTACAACTTGCTTTTTAAAATTCCCCACAGACGCTGAAAGGTAAATACTGTCTACTGCTGTGATTGCAAGTAATCTCTTGTGCAAATGGGTCATAAATCATTTTGACTTATTTACTGATTGATTCGTTTATTGAAAATTGCTTTTTTTCAGTTTTCATTGTTTATCTTTCATGGCTGAATGTCTACGATCGATATGAGCGCGGCTGTTTTAAGCACAGTGGTTTCGATTAGCGTGTGGCCTTTTAATGACGAGTGCAGTCATGGTAGAGCGGAGTGACCTGATTCCTGCACTAAGCCGATTACACCTGTTAGATGTGCATATACAGGAAATATACAAAATAATGGAGACAGCACATGAAAATGATTTGAACATTAAAGTAGCTAAACCACTATTACAATTGCAGCAACAATGATGAGTCATGTTAGGTTGAATGGCAATTAGTAGTATTTGTCATTCATAGAAGAGGTCTGACAATCAACACTTTGATATGTGAATTTTTAAGGCATCATGGTTAATATAGAAGCCAAAAGATCAGTGCCTGAACTGCTGGTGCATTTGTTAGAGAACTTGAGAATGAAATGTGTCCTCTGCATTTAACCCATATGTGACATCGTGACATAGCAGGGGGCAGCTAATTCAGCGCCCGGGGAGCAGTGCTTGGGGGTGGTACCTTGCTCAGGGTACCTCAGTGGTGCCTTGAACCAGCAATCTTTCAATTACTATTGCACTTCCCTAACCATTAAGCCACCACTGCCCACTGTATAAAGTACAGTATAGTATAGAGGAACAGTGGTCACAAGTCGAAGCTCACCAACAAAGACAGACAAACTTAACACGATACCTGCTTAACACTTCAAAAATGATCAGAGGGCTGACTGTGCACCAGTAAATTGTGGGTTTCACATAGCTGAAATGCGTCCTATGGCTACCATTCAGGAACCACTTCTATCCAAGGCCAATTCACAAAGACACATGACCCACTGTGAGGAGCACGACACCTAGACCTCTAAGCAAAAGCAACGCCATTGCTGCGGACCTTCGGCTGAATGAAGTGCGGCAGCTCATGGCCCCACATCTGTCTGCTACTGGATCCACAACTTTTTGTCTAACAAGACACAGTATATCATGGTTTGCGACCACATTTCGGACCCCCTCTGCCTGTGCACTCTCTCCCCTGCCCCACTCTCTCTACACCAGTGTTTCCCAATCTGATCCTTGGGGACCCAGAGATGGTCCACATTCTTGCTCCCTCCCAGCTCCCTACCAGACAGTCTACATTTTTGCTCCCTCTCAGGTCCTAGTAAAAATGTAGACTGTCTGTGGGTCCCCGAAGACCAGATTGGGAAACACTGCTCTACACCAAAGATTGCACTTCTGACAGTTAAACTTATTAGGTTTGCAGACAACACCATCCTGGTCGGAGTCATCTCAAACAACGATGTGTCATGTTGTCATGGTGCAGCGTTAACAACCTGGCGCTAAACACACAGAAAGCCGCGGAGATGAGCAAGGGTTTTAGAAAGAAACCCAGCTCACTGCCTCCACTGGAAATACACAGCTCCACTGTCATCAGAGCAGAGTCTCGCCAATTCTTCAGCACGATGGTTCAGACAGATCTCAGATGGGACAGATACAGTCCTGCAGTTATGAACTGCATCAGCAGTGTTTTAACTTTCTGCGACAACGCAAGAAATTTTGGCCACAGCAAGCACTGCTTATCCAGCCGTAATAGAGTCCATCGTTGCCTCCGCCATCGCAGTCTGGTATGCGACGTGCAAAGGAATTAATCAGCTGTCGGCTCTCCGCTGTCAAAAACCTCTACTCATCTAGGATGAAAGAGAGGGCCGGGAAATCATGGCCGACCGCTCACCCCCGGTCACTCTCTCTTCCCGCGTCTCCCATGGCAGCGGAGACCAAGACTGAGAGCCCTAAAGACTCAGACCACCCGCCACCTCCTCCGCTTCTCTCCTCAGGTCATCATCCATCTAAGCGAGGACCCTTCTCACATCCCTCTGCTTTGAACTGATGCACACAACTACTGTCCATCCCATGCTGTAATCCATCTGAATAAGAACCTTTCCATTATTGTAGTCAGTGCACATATGCACTTTAACCTTTTATCTGCAGTTTGTTGGTGTATAGCCTGTTATGTTTTTATGGCATATCTTTTATCTTTTTCTATACCTTTTTATTAAATTGATGTTATGTTCACACATGCACTAACAGTAATTCCTGTACATATGACAGGCCTACTTGGTGAATAATATAGGTTTTGATTCAGATATAAACGGACATGTTTACCTTTAAAGAAAGCCAGAACATGCCTTCAAACGTCAGTGTGGCGATCCATAATGGAAAGGCTCTCTATCTCGCGGGAGCCTTTAGGTGCGACGAATGCTCTGCGTGGTCATTTAACAGCCGGGAAAGACGCTGCCATTTTGCAGGATCAGGTACATTCTATGACACAAACACCATCCCCCCCCCCCCCCCCGAGGACCCTAATATTCCAAGATGGTAATGCCCTCATACGCAAGTACATTTCCAGCTCCTTCATCCCTCAAAGAACTGGGGGCTTTTCTTCTTTCATGGTCCACTCCTACATACCCCTTAGAATTTGCACCACAACATTCCAAGAAGGACTGAAGCAGTTCCAGAGCCCAAGGGTGGCCCTACTTCTTATTGAGTCCTTGGTAGTAGTATATTGTGGGTCTTACTAATATTCCCCCCCATAAGCACTATTGTAAATGTAAATGGGCGACTGTTCTCTTTTTCAGGATTGGCCTGTGGTGATCTCATAATGTTTAAAGCATTACATCATTGTTGAGGACAAGATAAGATTCTAAAGCATGTTGGAAGAGTTCCTTTGTGGGTGGATTACTGAACATTCAGAATATTGCGGATTTAGGAGCACTGCCCAGTTCACAGCTACCCAGGGACTTGTAATCGACTTTATATTGTCTCTGTACAGTCAGGGTTTTCACATGTTTTTTTTTTCCAATTATTTAAAAACAAAAAAAAACAAGGAAGATAAGAGTTCCCTTCAATGCAGGCTGGAATAGTTTCACAACTTAGGAAATATCTGCAAAGTGAAGATTTTATTGTGTGTCCACTTTAAAAATAATCTAAGATTTTAGAAATCGGAAGTTCTTTCAGAAAATGCAGAAAATTCTCTTTTTTAAAGAGAAAAATCACATAGAAGCCCTTAATTGCATTTCAAAGAAGAATGATCAAAGTTTTTCTGTCCAGAAGAAGATTCTTTGAGATAAAACAGAACTTGACACTTCTCATCTAACTCCCTGAGTACACACTTAAGAGCCAGAGCGTGCCAGGTGTTCATCACACCACAGAGTTTGCGTGGAAGGCCAGGCCAAAAGCACACAACAAATTTCCCTAAAAGAACATTTTGTTTCATTACCCTCAATAATCAGTCAACAGTCATGCAATCCTTGCTTGAAGCTTCACATCTTTCATTTTCTGCCCAAAAGCCATATATGGTGTTTTACAAAGGTCAGAGGGACGCTGACCTATACACCACCCAATCGCATCTCCACCTTCTTCTCATGCATCCAATCAGCTTTTCCATACAAAGAGGCTTTACACCAAAGGCAAGAATGATGCATGAAATATGAAATATTTGCCAGTGAAAACCACTAACAGCCGTCTGTGAACTGCACAGCTAAAACAATCCCAACCAACAGAGCATCTATCAAATTTATTCTCCTGCTAGGGCATCCCTGCCTTCACCAGTAGATGGTATGATCCATAAAACTCAACACAATTTATTAAGTACAAGATTTACGCTAAAAATACCTCAATGGCGATTAATCATTAGATATTCTTCTGAAAAATAAAGTTTTACCAAACACCATAAAC